TTCCCACCATAATAGGTGGTGAATTATAATAGTATGTGGTGATGATATCCCGTTTTCTATAGATGGTAATTCCACTACAAGTTACGTTTTCTATGGGTAACTTGTTTATACAACACAGCTCTTATCTGTCTGTATGATATTATATGGTGTCGGATTTTCCGACAAGCATCGCATTTTTATGCATACTCTACGTCGTACTAGGAAATGGTAGTCGCTCTCGAAAATGACATACTCTCCCGTTTTCTGTTTTGGGTCCTCTATTAGTTTTTTTGTTATAAAAGAGTTCTTACATACAGCCACTAGCACGTGCAGCGTTTCAGGCAAGTCTTTAATCCCATGTTCCCCGGAATACGACTCCTCCCAATCGTTTAATAACCAGGTACCCAATAACAAAGTTTAACAATATTTACCAGGTACCAGATTTAACAATATTTTTACTGTTGGGTAAACAGAGGTTATAGTTAAGGATTGACGTCCAGTAAATCCTTCCCGGCCACGATACGAACCCTGGACAAAGCGCTCGTGAAACGCCAGGCGAGGGTCTTAACCACTACACCATGGGGGACTTACTCAATACCTTGGTCGATAGAGCTTCGGCCTTACACACGTGGGGTCCACGGTTCGAGTCTCCAAGAGCCCCGGTCAGGTTAGGAGAGAGCACTTTAGTACGACAGATTCTTGACGTTGAGATACCTTAGAAGGACGGGCTACGCATGCACACTCCCACGCACACACTCATTGAACACAAAATAAACCTAGTTTACATTTTTGTTTTGTTTTTGTTTTTAACAAATTTAATGAATAAATAAAATATAATTTCTGTCTATGTGTTCAAAGTTGAAGGTCAGACGCTTTGGTCTAGCTTCACCCAAATTGGCAGAGTGAATGGTCTGGGGTACAGGATAGACATAGGCTGATCGGGGTCACTAGAATTAAAAATAGGAATAGCATTCTGACCCTCCATGATGATTTTTGGCACTGCTCGCCATCTACACAGTTCAATAATTACAAACTAATTTTTTCAACCCAATTTCGTACAGTAATATGCACCACTATTCACTGATCTTGGTAAAATTACCAGAATTTTCCTGCTGTCAATAACTTGCCCGTAGTCGCATAAAACCAACCATTCTTCCACAGGTTCATAGCTTACAACCAAGACAATAGATGGGTAGGTAGACAGATGGATAGGTGGGTGGGTAGATGATTAAATGGTTGGATAGATAAATAGATGAGTAGATGGATAGGTAGATGAATGGATAGATATATATGGATAGAAAGATTAGTAATTGATTGGGCAGATAGATTAATAGATGGATGGATATATATTGATGGATAGACGGTTGCACAAATGGATGGATAGAATGATAAATTGAAAGATGGATCGCTGTATATATGGACGGATAGATGGATGGATGGAAGGGTGAATAGACGGATAGATTGATCGATGGATAGATAGATGGAAGGGTGGATAGATGGATAGATTGATGGATGAATAGATGCATGCTTAGATAGATGGACAGATAGAATGAAGGATATATTGATGGATGGGTGGATTGATAGAAAAATAGATTTTGGGATAGATAGGTGAATGGATAGATAAATAGATGAATGGTAAGATGGCAGATGGGAGACAGACCCATGCAACGCTGGGATCCCCGCTCTATAATATAATTTATTTTTTAACTCCTGTACAACACATCTTGTCGTTAACCAATCAATAAACTTAATTAATATAAGTAAGGGTAACAACACCCCAGCGAGGAATTTTTGGTTTAGACAAATTCCTCGCTGGGGTGTCACTCGTTTTATACCAAAATTTGTGTCGTAGCAAGTTGTGCTTAACGTGATATGTCAAATAAGTGCCAGTCATGTGGATGAAAATGAGGGTTAGTTCTTGGGCTCACCTTGCAAATATTATTTGGAGGGTAGAAATAGTCTAAGTTACTCTATCCTTTAAGAGATGTATCTTACTATCTCAATACACATACTTGAACTACACGTTACTCGTTGTAGTTTCTTTAATAGGCATCGTAATTTTTTGAAATTTAAAATGGTCGTTTTTAGACGACGTTTTTCGTAATTTTGGATGTGGGTTTAGGCTGCATCACTCATCCCTGCCTTACACCACAGTATTTTCATATGTCCATCCAATTTTAATGACATTTAAAATAGTTACACACATGACGAGGAAGAAGGACTAAAGCTAGATCTGTGGCTGTAGCTCCTGTCCCCCCCCCCCTCCCCATCATAGCTCTCATGTATTTTTGTTATTATTTACTCAATTAAAATTATAATTAAATTATAGTTACTGAGACATGGAATAAATGTAGTTCATGGTGTTCCTCATCCTCTCGTTGTAAGACATAGTTCAAGGAAGCAGTCTCTCAATTCTGCAAGCATAATTAGGTAAGTACCCACGTTCCACATCATCAACCTCTAGTCACAACTCCCTTATTACAACGTCCTTCAACTTCCTTCCCAATCCTCTATTCTAACCTCTTCCTTCTCTACCTAGATTCAGATTCCCTTATCTTAAAGTTCTCCATCCAGCTTTCGACACTTCCTCCTTCAGTCACCTCCACCTAGCATCCCTCGCCCCCTCCTGTGCGTGCATGCAAATGTCTTAGTAAAGTTGCTTAATTTGTTAATTGATAGTGATATTACATATAGTAGATTATAAATTAGTTCTAAAGAAATACAGAATATGTTGAGAACATATAAAGAAGTTACGCATATGCTTAAGTAAATGAGTTAGAATATGTTTGTATGTGTATGTGAAATCAAAATCAAATCATCTCAAGAAGATGTGTTCTTATTGGGTTTGGGGAGGGAGGGGAGAAACAAGGCATGGGCAAGTTGGAGGGGAAAGAGTGGGAGGTAGGTGAGCAAGGAAGGTATGTGTGCAGGAAGGGGGATGGAGGATCGCAGTGAGGGAGCGGAGCTAGGTGGAGACAGTCTGAAGGAGGATGTGTAAAAGGCTGGATGGTGGACTCAGTGTGGAGGGACTGTAGGCAGAGAAGAAAGAGGGAGAAGTAAGGAACGAGAAGGGAGGAGACGGGGTAGGGTAGGGAGGAAGTAGGATAAAATGGAAGGGAGAATGGTAGGAGGAGTAAGGAAGGGGAAGAATGGAGGAAGAGGGAGGGAGAAAGGAGTTGTACCAACAGGTACAACCCCTGTTGTACCTGTTGTGAGCAGGGGTGGATGAGGGGAAGCATGTGTACTTAATTATGCTTACCTAATTGTGCTTGTGGGATTTTTATTTTTTATTTTTTTGCAGGGATATTCCTGTGCAGCCCGTAAGCTGCACAGGAATGCTTAGTGGGCTGGCCCACTAAGTGTTGCTTGTTTCTGTGGGAATTGAGAGACAGTTTCTTGATAAATATCTTGCAACGAGAGTATCAAGAGCTTATGGCTACTTTTATTTCCTGTCTTTTTAACTATATTTTAATTTTATTTGGATTAAGCTAATAACGAAAATACACAAGAAAACAATGATGGGAGGGCGGGGGGGGGGGGGACAAAATCAACACGGGTAACTATTTTTAAATAAATATTTATTTTAAGATTGTGTTACGGCCCTCTCGGGACGCAAAGGGGTTCTTACTCTGATGTTGTTAGAGGAAGATATATGTATCCGTTCCCAAGCCAGTAGTGGCTATCAAGGGATGAGATCCGTGATGCAAGTAACTTAAAAGGGAGTAGGGAAAGAAAGTTAAGAACTTAATATTATAATTATTACCATCACCGATTAAATATAAAGATAAAAGAGTGCACAAGGGGGAGGGGTATTAACACCAGACAAGGGGATTAATCCACAATCGATGTCTTCTGCTGAAGACGCTGGTGCCATAACTCTCGGTGCCGAGTCCTTGGTGCTTTCTTCGTGGCCTCACAACGAATTCTCCAAAGAAGTTGAGCCTACCCTGGCCACAGGTCAGCCAAAACACGGGTCCACTGGGGGACACCGCCGTGGAGGCCGTCAACCACACGTCCAGCTGGTCTGCTGGCAGGTTCTGAGCCAACAAGGCTGGTACGGCCACTCCACGAACGATAAAAGGGGAACGCCCTAGACAGGAGCCTCGTGTGACACCACAAATCACTCTACTGTCTTCAGTACCCCAGTGGATGATCGTCTCCAACAGTCGGTCCCGGGTAAATCCTTTTACTGCCACTCCACTGGCAGGCTAACACACCACAGTGTTCTTCCGGGGGGGGGGAACGACTTCACAACAGCTGCAGCAGAGTTCAAGGTATGGAGACTGGCTGCCTCGGGTAGACTGACTCAACCTTCAACACAGCGGTCCCAGGTCGACTCTGTAAGCAGACACGTCATCAATGACTGGGACACTAAAACACCTCACTTACGGGCTCGGGCACAAACACCTGACGTATCCAGTCCATAGATGGCGCTGTCGTCGGAGCACCACCTCACCAGAGGTCAGGAGCGGCTGTGTTGTGAGCTGCACAGGACTGGAAACTGGCCCTTGTGGCTGGTACACCTTGTCCTCACCAGGTGTCGTTGTCCGTTTGGCGGGGGTTTCGGGAGCTGACCCACAGATGGCGTGGTCGTTACTGCTCCGTGCTCGGACGCTGGATCCGGGTTCGTAACAGATTGGATGAATACTTATGAAAATACAGTGGAGAACATAGGTGGGAGACAGGAGCTACAACCCTCAACTGTCTTTTCCTCTTAATGCATCTAAAATACATGGTTGTAAATTTAATAAATCTACTGTTTAATGAATTTGCAAAGAATAACATCTAGAGGCGGATCTAAGAACTAATGTCCAACACTGTCAAACACATTACTAACACTTAATTGACATATCACCTTAAGTACGACTTTCTATGACACAAATTTTGGTCTAGCAGGTGACACCCCAGCAAGTTATTTGCCAAAATTAAAAATTCCTCGCTATGGTTTCATTACTACTAAGACTACTACGGTACACCATGATTTTTTTACAAAGGTATTTGAATATATAATTTTTTTATAGACAATGAGGATAGAGACACACGACTTAAGGCCATAATGAGAAGGATGAAGAGATCCAGCAGCGAGCCACCAGTGAGCACACGTGGGTACCAAGACAATAACATCACCACCTCTCCATCTCCAAGTGAGAATGAGCATCAACTTTCCGATGAAAGTGACCACTCTACCCCACTCTCACTTGAAACAAACCAAGAGCCAGAATTAATCCAAGTTCAACATCATTTTCAAGGATCATACATACGCCATAGTTTCAGAATTCCTAAAAATGTTGAAATAGACCCATTATCATACATATGCAACTACCAAATATTTTTCATAAAGTACATCTCAAATGTATATAATAGTTATCAGGGGCGGTTTCCACCTATGTTACGCATCTTTCCTGAAGTTTATGTACAACTTAAAGGAAACAGTGCCGAAGGAGAGCCCATTGTGCAACATCAAAATCAATATTCGTGATGTGACTTTAGAAGACATTACTGATCTCGTCAAATCATGGATAAATGTTATAGCTACTGGACTGGAGAAGCAGCTCTCTGAAGTTGAAGTGTCTGGAATCACAGTGCAGGGTGTCACTAGCTTTCATATGAATTTTATGGTTGTTCAACATCCTATTCGCTTAGGAACATATGTCCCTTATCCAACTATTAGAGGCAAACAATGTATTTTAAATCCTAAAAGTGCCAGTTCGTCATGCTTAATCCAGTGCATTTGTGCATATTTGTGTCTCTCTAGTGGCAAGAACTTGGGCGTTGTTCGGACCATAATTAAAATAGAAAGCAGGTGTAGAAAATATATAAAGACTGATAACTTAGATTTGCCTTTATCATGGGAAAATCTCTCTAAAATTGAAACCTTAAATAAAGTCAGTATATTTATATATTTACTTGTCAAAAGCAGTGGTAAATATAGTATCAGTTTGGCTAGGAAAGGTCATGCTGCCTATAGGGATAAAATTGTTCCACTATTGTTATTAGAAGACAAACACGTGGCTCTTATCAAGGACTTTAATCAATATATTAAAAACATGAAGAGCAACCAGATGAGAGAGGGGAAAAATCCTATTTATTGTCACATCTGCTTAATGCAGATATACAATAAGCAACAGTTTTCTATACATGAAGAAAAATGTGATGCTCAACAAACTCTAGAGTTGCATCCCCCGGACACTACAATAAAATTTAGAAGACGGTATTCCCCATACAGTCCATCTCATGTAGGCTTTTATAGCTTTGAGTGTTTACTAAACAAAACGGACTCCCAAGGCATGACAGAGATGAGCCATAGGGCTGTGGCTTATTCATATATTATTATAGACAGACATGGGTCTGTTGCAGACAAATCCTCCTACTGTGGTCCTGATGCAGTTAATCACTTTGTCAGTAAAGTGCAAACGACTTGGAAGCGCTTAAAGGCTCAGCTGCGCACTTATCCTGTACACATGACAAACAAATCCCAGAAACTGTATCGTGCTCAAACTACATGCGGTTTTTGCCTGAATGACTTTAAGAATCCAAAAGACAAGTATCGTCATCATAAGTACAATGAAGAGTACGATAACTTTTTAACTGCCTATTGCCTTAAATGCAAGTTTGAATGTTTGGTTGCTAACCGTTTTCTTAATATGTTTTCATGTGATACTTCAAATGACTTTGGAATTATTCTCGCAGAATTGGCTTTAGAGCCGCAGAGAGAGATTTTAGTTCAGTCTACCCAGGAATTTAAATTGATGAAAGTAAGCATTGATAATAATATTTGCCTCGTGAATAGCCTATATCTCTTGAAGGGTAACTTAGCCAACTTGGCAGAGAAGCATGTTAAAGATGGTAAATCATTAAAGTACACTCATATGATGATGGATGAAGTTTCCAGCAAGGCTAAAACAATTGTGTTAAGTAAAAAGCTTTTTTTCTGCAATGACTATGTTTCTAACATTGATTGTTTAAAAGAGGAACAACTCCCTCCTATTGAAGCTTTTAACAGTCACTTAAATGATAGCCAGCTATCCTCAGAGGATTATGATCATGCACAACGTGTCTATGAACTTGGAGGTTGTAAATGCCTTGGAGACTACTTACAACTATATTTGAAAGTTAACACTGGTCTATTATGTGATGTCTTCACAAGCTGGAGAAAGACTTTGATTGATCTTTATCAGCTAGATGTCGCATATTATGAGTCTTTGTCTAGCTTTGCCTGGGATGCTTTGCTTTTGAACAGTAAAGTTGAATTTGATGCCATTCACGATTATGAATTATATGATCTCATACAAGGTAATCTGAAAGAGGATTTTACCAGTGTAGTAAAACAGTATTCACAAGCAGACAATATACACCTAAATCCACAGTTTAACTCTGCAGTTGGAAAGTATATCGTATATTTGGAATTCAATAATCTGTATTTTACATGTATGATGGAAAAGTTGCCCCGAGGCGATATACATAAATTGCCTGAGGATGAAAAAGAACTTTTTGTAGAAAAGGGACTAGAAAATCATTCCTGTAAGTCTACCAAAGGGTATTGGATTCTTTGTGACACAAAGCAAGTAAGTCCTCGTGTAGCCCAGGAAACAGATGAACTACCATTAGTTTTCGCCCATAGAAATGTTCAGAGAGAATTGATCTCTGAATACAGTAATAGAATTCTTGAGTCTAACAGCTATGAATTACCGAAGTCAAACACAAAATTAGTGGCCTCACATCTACCACAAAAGAACTATTTAGTTAGTTTAGATTTACTGCAACTTTTGATGAAACTTGGCTTGGAAGTTGAATGTGTTCATGCCGTGTATGAATTCACCAAGCTGAAAGTTTTAGAGAAATTTAATACTAATATTAATCAACGGATTGAAACCACTGATAAAGAAAAATGTTCGGCCTTAAATTATGTAAATAGTCTAATCTTTGATAAGTCATTAATGAACATAAACAAATACTCTGATTGCCACGATTTCGTTATAAATGAAAATAAATTTTTAAAGTTTGCTCGTAATCCTTGTACAAAATGGGTTACACCTGTAAGTCAGGATCGGATGATTTGTACAAAGAGTATGAAGAAACATCTCATTGATCAGCCCACATATATTCATTTCCATATTCTTCAGATGGCTACAAAAATGCTGTACGAATTTTGGTACAATGTGGTCAAGGCACACTATGGCAAAAGAGCACAGTTGGTGTACACAGACACTAGCAGCTATATCTTCACACTCGAGTGTGAAGATGTCTATAATGAGCTAGGATCGGAACCTCTTAAGTCTTGCATGGACTTCTCAAATTTTTCCAAAGATCACCCATTGTTTGATGATAGCTTTAAAGGGGTCCCAGGGCGTTTGAAATCTGTGACAGGTGAAAGACTCATTTCTGAAGTTGTGGCATTAAAACCTAAAATGTTTTCCATGATGGTGCAATCAGAGCAGCAGTCAGACAGAACCAAAGACTTACCATTTCATTATAAATCAGCACTAACTCATGATAAATTTAAAAAAGACATATTCGGTCGAGTCTCTAATGATTTTAATAGTAGATTAATACCTAATGAAGCTGAACAAAACTGCACTTGTGTTGGATCAAAACTTGGATTATATTTGTTTGATGACAAACGTTATGTTTTAAGTCCTCATCATTCTCTAGCGTTTGGTCACCCAGACATTTTGGACAAGTATACACGACCCGTTGAAACCACAGAGACAATTTATGTTCATGTAAAGGAGACTCCTGATGACAGTGACACTATACAGACCTTTAAATATGAGAAACAGAAAACTTCTCAACCCAGTAAAATCAAAGGCACCTTTAAATATGAGAAAAAAAAGAGGTCTCAATCGAAGGAAAGCGTAGAGATCTCTGATGATGAGAGACGTAAGAAGTGTAAACGCATTAAAATCATGAAAATATTTGATGATAAAAGACAGGAAAGTTCTCAATCCAGTAAAATCATAGAGGCAATTGATGATGAGACACACAAGAGTTCTCAATCCAGTGAAAGTAGAGAGACGTTCGATAATGAGATAGGTAGGGAGAGATCTGGACCCAGCGAAACCATAGAAACCATTAAACATGAGAGGCAGATGAGGTCTCAACCCAGGGAAACCGTAGAGACCTCTGATGAGAGACAGAAGAGATCTCGGTTCATTAAAACCATTGTGACCTTTGGTGGTAAGATAGAGGAGAGACCTGAACCTAACAAATTTATAAATGATAAATTAGAAGCGGGACCTGGACCCAACGAAACCATAGCGACCTTTGATGATGCTATAGTGGAGAGATCTGGACACAACGAAACCATAGAGACCGTTGATGCTGCGATTGAGGAGAGTTCCCGACCAAATGAAACCCTAGAGACCATTGATGATGAGATAGAGGAGAGATCCGGACACAACGAAACCATAGAGACCTTTGATGATGCTATAGAGGAGAGATCCGGACCAAATGAAACCATAGAGACCTTTGATGATGACACTGAGGAGGAGAGATCTGCATCCAACGAAACCATAGAGACCTTCGATGGTGATACAGTAGAGGAGAGGTTTCAACCCATCATTGCTCCCTGTAATAGAAGGTCTCAGTGGGAGAGAACTCTTGCCAAAACAGCATTCAACTGCCTCTTTAAGCCTCGCCAGGATCTTCCAGGTAGCACACCTCCCTAACTCCCAGCACATCATTATCATCTCAGAACACCTGTCATCAAAGGTGATGGTGAATGGAATATAATGAAGTGCTACCACTTGATTATACAAGTGGTGGCATCAACATAATTATAGTTATGTGAATAAGGATAACAAATTTATATTTTTGTTCCACATAAAGGTAATAATCCATATGATTAATTCTTTATGCATAATTTTTATTTTGTTTAATAATTTTGTATACGTTTTTGTAATTTTATGTTTTGTGTCTGTGCAAAAATTTAACAATTACTGTGACATGTGTTTTTGTGTGTGTTTATCTGTATACATTGTATACTTTATCTAAAATGCATATAATGTACTGAACACAACAGTGTTGGTACATAAAGCGCATGCGTTGTTTTATAATCAAATACGTATTAGTTAATAATAGGGTTTATTAAATTATTTGTGTAATGTATACTGTACTGCACTCTCATTGTTGTTCTCTTTTATGATGTGTAAGTTATTACCCAAATAATATCCGCATTATCATCTCACCTCTATTGACGTTTTACCTTGTGGTTCTTTGTCTAGGCAGGTGTAGTTGGGAATATAATCCCAAACTCCTATGCATCTTTTTGGATTGCCCTGATAATGTGTTGAAACACGAAAACGTTTGGAAGTTTCATTTTCCTAACACTCAACACAAACTTATCTCCAATTGGCCGGTTTATTGACCTAAGAAAAGTATTTGATTCCTTAAATAACGATAACGACCTACTTAAACTTCATCACATTGGAATAAGAGGCTTTGCTCTGAGCTATTTACGATCGTCTGGCAACAATAGACACTGTTACAGTCATCAATAACATAGCCTCTCTTGTCCCACTCTCCCATTAATCTTGGGAATACTCCAAGGTAGTATACTAAGACCTTGTCTGTTTTTGTTATAAATTACCTGTCAGTTGCTTCTAATCTTCTCAGACCTCTACTCTTTGCTGATGACACAACCTTCATTTTTTCTAGACCTAACCCACCACCATAAAAAATGATTGAACAACCACAAATCCCTCAAATTCTCCATCACCGAGAGAAAATCATTTATTAATATTCAGAGCTATAAACAATTTTGACCAGAAAACATACATTTCCCCTCGGTGCAAAGCCCTAAACAAGCTACGCACGCGCGCGCGCGCACACACACACACACACACACACACACACACACACACACACACACACACACACACACACACTACACATTCTCTTGTGCTCTTTATAGATACGAATCTTGTTGCTGTTGTTTAAGATTCGCTACCTGGAACTAAAAGTTCCAAGCAGCACGGGCTATGGTGAGCTCGTAGTACGAATCTTTATTCGTCAGTCCTATCCCTGACTTCAAACTCTCTTTTTCTTATACTAAAACTAATGAGCTTCATCATAAAAATATATCTTTGACATTCCAAACTCTGACTAAATCTTTGCAAACATGCCGTGCAAATAAAAGACTCTAAAATAAAAAACTCCCTTTCTAATGAAGTAAAGAATTGTTTTTTAAGTGCAACCTTATATTCAAATTGTATGTTTAGATTTTTTTTTTTATATTTGTACAAGAGTTCTTACATTCTTGTACAGCCATTAGCAGGCATAGCGTTTCGGCCAGGTCCTTACTCCTATGTTGGGCCACCGATCATGGCTTCAAGTTCTCTACTTCTAAGACTTGTGCCATGACTTTTACGCGGAAACGGGTCGTTCTTCGTCCCTCTTTGTCGCTTTATGGTCATCCTCTTGAGTACAAAGATTCCGCGAAGTTTTTGGGGTTATTCCGTGACACTCGTTTGTCTTGGTCTCCCCATATCTCTTACCTCCGTGTTGAGTGCTCTAAGGCCTTTACCCTCCTTCGGGTCTTGTCCCATACTTCTTGGGGGGCAGATAGGCGCACTCTCCTTGCTTTACATTCCTCTCTCGTCCTGTCTAAGCTCGATTATGGTTGCCCTGCTTACTCGTCTGCTTCTCCTTCTACTCTTCGCCCTCTTGATGCTTTGCATCATACTGGGTTGCGCCTCAGTTCTGGTGCCTTTCGTTCGACTCCCGTCCTTAGCTTGTATGTTGACACTGGCTTCCTGTCTCTCCAAGACCGCCGTGATCGCTACTGTCTTCGCTATCTTGCGCGGTCCTTACAACATCCTTCCTCTCGCCTCTGTCGTGCTTTAACTTTTACCCCTCCTGCGGTTCCTGTTCCTCTTCACCACCTCCCTCTTTCTGACCGGTTATCTCGCCTACAGGACTCTCTTTCCATTCGTATTTCAAATGTTTCTCCTCGTGTTGTTCCTTCTTTGCCCCCGTGGAGAGTCCCTCTTCTGCGGTTTTGTACATCCTTGACCTGTATCACTAAAGCTTTTACCCCTCCTACGGTTTTAAAACGCCTTTTCCTTGAGCACTTTTCTTCTCACTCCCGCTCCGTTTCTGTCTTCACCGATGGGTCTAAGTCTGCGGACGGTGTTGGCTTCTCTGTTGTTTT